TATCTAACTGATATTTATTAGGTTTCATTAATACTGTTTCAGTGCGAATTATTTAACTTTTTTGTTATGTTGATTATGATTTCATTTTCCCCTGCAAATGTGAAATTTTGGGGGGAAAAATGTTTACTGTAGGAAGCAAGTAAGTTTTTTAGCTCTCAGTGATATTACTTTTCAACATTTTTTTTGCATTTTTATTCACACAGAAATCAGCAAACATGATGAGGATGAAAATGAACAACATCAAACAGAGAAGGAGGAAAAATTACAGAGAGAATGTGAGGAAAAGAAAAGACTTGAAGAGGAGTTGCAGATCAATGAGGAAGACTTAAAACACGTCAGACAAACCATTGAAAAACTGATGGAGCAGAAGACATTTCTGAAGAACCAGAGAGAAAAACTCCACAAACTACTGCAGGAGGACAAGGCAGAGATGAAAGAGATCACGAAAAGGTTGGAGAAAGAAACCCCATTCCTTGACAAAGAGAAAAAAAAGAATAAGCTTGTAGATAAAAAAACTGACCTGGAAAAGAGAACAGAAGTACATGAAGAACTGTTAAAGATGACAGAAGAGCTAATGGAGGGAACAGAGAACATTATAATCCAAATGACAGAAAGAAAGGGAAAGCTAGAAATAGACAAGGAACAAATTATTAAACACTTGAGAAAGAAACACAAAGACATAGAAGAGATTAAGAAGAAACTGTCAGAGAAACAAGCGAGAGACACTGAACAGGTGTGTAAGTTTTTCTTGTATATATTTCTTGCTAAAATCACATGTACCAACTGTCATGTTGTGTTCAGTTTACATTTCCAGTGTCTTCAATTATAAACCTAAAACCCGTTTTTTTGCTTTTCTTCCTCAGCAAAGGACAGAGCAACACGACAAATAAAACATGGATTTTGCTGGGTTTTTTTCTCTTGCTGTCATTTTGCAATGTGATGCCTAATGTTTCTTTATTTGTTTGCTTTAAATTTATACTATATACGTTTAAACAAGAAATGCAGTTTGACTGTATTTTATCATAGGAGATAAACATTTTTGTGATTCTTTAAATCTTTTGTCTTTGTGAAAGCAAGAAGAAAATATGCTCTCTGTATTGTCATGAGACCTGCGGTAGAAAAAGATTAAACTCCCCAAAAAACAAAAAAATGAAAGAGATTTAGAAGAAACTGTCAGAGAAACAAGCGAGAAACACTGAACAGGTGTGTAAGTTTTTCTTTAATATATTTCTTGCTAAAGTCACATGTACAAACTGTCGTGTTGTGTTCAATTTACGTTCCCAGTGTCTTTAATGTCTCTCCTTTTTTTTTAATCAGCGAATGACAGAGTAACACAACAAATAGAACATGGGTTATTTTTGTCAGTGCTGTCATTTTGCAATGTGATGCCTGATATTTCTATATTTTTTTGCTTTAAATTTATACTATATACAGTTTAACAAGACATGCATTTTGAGTGAATTTTATCATAGAATATTTTATTTTAGGCAGCACGGTGGCACGGTGGTTAGCACTGTTGCCGCGCAGCAAGAAGGTCCTGAGTTCAATTCCACCATCAGGCCGGGGTCTTTCTGTGTGGAGTTTGCATGTTCTCCCGTGTTTGCGTGGGTTCCCTCCGGGTACTCCGGCTTCCTCCCATCGTCCAAAGACATGCAGCTTGTGGGGATAGGTTAATTGGATAATCCAAATTGTCACTAGGTATGAATGTGAGTGCGACTGGTTGTCTGTCCCTGTGTGTTGGCCCTGCGACAGGGTGTAACCCGCCTCTCGCCCTATGACAGCTGGGATAGGCTCCAGCGCACCCCGCGACCCTGAAAAGGATAAGCGGAAGCGAATGGATGGATGGATGAATATTTTATTTTGTTTCTTTAGAATAAAATAGAAGAGATTCAGAAGAAACTCACTTGATGAACATCTGTCTAAGAAGTCAGATGTTTATTTTACTTGAATTTTTTTTTCTCTTTGAGTTTAATGAATATGCTAAAATACAGAGGGAGAATCACCAATTAACTTAATATGCACACAGAAACAAGGAAAAATTTCAAATGTCACCCAGAAAGATTCCAGTTGAACATGTTAATTCTATAAAAGCCAAGACAATAAAACATGCAGTATGTTGAACTGTAAACTGTAAAGCTGTATTTATAAAAACAAACTATAACTTCTAAACAATAGTGTTTTATTAAGGTGTACACGGCAAGTCCAAGAAGAAGAGGAAACAATTTACTATGTACTATAAACACTATTATTAAGCAGCAGTTTTTCAAAAACATCGTTATGTTCAGACTTTACTGAGTAGTATTTGGGTAAAACCTAAATGGATTTTGTAAAGTGGACAGAATAGGAGAGACTACAATGATAATATTTTCCATTAACTAAAAGTAATGCTCTTGAAAGTGCTAATGTGTTACAAAAAAATATTGATGTGTTTATTATTTAAGTTGATTTCTAATAATAATTTTTCTGTTATAATTTATTCTGATGATTTAATCATCTAAACTGATCCATGATGAAAACACATCTGTGTGTAACCATGTATTTTTATCTTGGTGGGGACCAAAATTTGGAAGTCAGCCATACTTGTTGGGACCAACAGCCCTTATGAGTACCAAAATCCTGGTCCCCACAAGTTTGAAGGCATTTTTGAGACTCAGAATGTGGTTTTAGTGACAGGGTTAGAATTGGGTTTAAGCAGCTGGCATTTGTTCCTCCTAAGACGAGTAAATCTAAAAACCACAAATAAAAATAGTCACCCCACATCTACTAAAAATAGCTTTCAGGAGCGCAAACAGAGCCGAGAGGCGAACACATTCAGAAAAACAATGAAGAAATATTATAGTTTTATTTGCAAATTTGCAAATAAAACAGCATATGCATCAAAATAAACTATTTCCAGCAGTGCAATTTCAGTTCTAAGCATCACAGAAACGATAAAGAAAAGCATAAAGTCAAACATGACTTTAAAAAACACCAGTATAGGCTTATACGGCCCTGAAGGTAAAAAAACAAACACAAAATGGCGTCAATTCCTGTTTCGGGCAGGTAATGGCATGAGCTAGTTCGCGCAGACGTCTATTCCAACGTAGGAAGTGTTACGAACAGCTGATCGGATCGGCAAAGCGTGTTTCTGGAATATTATGTTTTTGTTGCTGCAAGTGCTTTTTATGCAATTTTTGCAAAGCCATATGTGGAAGGAAACTGTGACCGAGGACAAGCTGATGGCATAAGATGTAAGTACAACTCCTCCGGTTTCATATGCAAAAAATTTTTGTGCTACTTTACGTGATTGCAGTTCTACAGGGATTTAAAAATAGTTACGCAAAACGGAGCGCGCCCGCTCCGACCGGTCTTAAAGGGTTAACTTGTGTTCTTAAGAATTATCTTCTTGATAACACACATCCATACTTTGTAAGTTATCCCATTTTCCTTTTGGCCTGCAAGGGGGTGACTTTCCCCTCTAGGCCCATCTTCTCCAGAATTGTCTTGATCACACAAAATAAAAAAGAGAAGAGAGGAAACCATGGCAACTATGTTAATCCCTAGATCCACAAGTTTTCACTGCAGAACACCAGAGGAGTACCGTAAATTGATTTATTCTTGTATATAATTTATTGTGTTCTGTATACGTCACTACAATGTGATTTGGAAAATGTCTAAATATACCGACAACAGGCACTTCCGCGGCAATCTCTTCAATCGGAGGACCCTTCACGTCAATTCCCGACGCGAGAGGGGTACCCTGCGCGTCCATAAGTGAAGCAGAGGGAGCCTGACCATGCGTCACACGTTTGACGAGTTGGGAGTGAGAACGTGTTGCCATGCCAGAGTGGCCAAATTCATTACCCCAGGGAAGAGGTGATCATTATCTCCTCATTTTAATAAATTGAGCCGTTCTTTGTTCTCCACAACAATGTCACAAAAAGGTTAATTCGCAAAAATCAAAACTGGCTGTATGTAACCAGCAATACATCAAAGTTTGGTGCAAGGGGCATCGAATAAACTATTTGCAAAAGATGTATACAATGAATATTAAAATATTTAAAAACTAATCTGATATACCTGACATAATTTTGAGTATAGTTAGTTTCTATTTATGTGGATATTGTACATGTGTAGCATTCATTTGATTTTGACTCAAATACATTTACATTTTTAATGGTAAATACCAAAAAAAAGGGTTTTTATAAGAAACAGTTTATTTAAAAACATTCAGGAACATTGTACATGTACTGTTTTGTATTTAAGTGGTTGCAACCTGTTACTGTATTGCACAAAACAAAGTCATGAAACATGTCACCAATATCCATTTTATGAAAGTTTGACCATATTTGACCCTAAAGAAGAGGTCAGAGGTCCAAAGTAACCTGAAATTTACAGTGCCCATGTATCATTCCCTACATGCTGTCAGTACCAACAATGACATCGTTTTAAATAAATGGCTCTATATAACATTATCATTACTCTGACTTTCAGGTTGATCCGTTGAACTCAGAGAGAGGTCAGAGGTCAAATGTGACATGATATTTAAAATCTTTATACTTTATAAATGTTAAACAGTGCACTTGTACAAGTGTACAAGTTTTAAGACTTTTTGTCAATTTTCCACCAACAAGTCATAAAGTTGACCTTGGTGGACGCAAACCAGATTTCAATGGATTGTTATAACATCATCCTGCTCTACACCCTACAGAGTTTTTAGAGCTGTTGTGTTTACAGACAGAACGTAATGCAAACACTACCAAAAACATGAGCTCCTTGTTGAAGGTAATAAGAAAGTGCTGAGCTATCTACACATGATCTGTAGTGATCTGATGCAACATGCAATCAAGGTCAACCGTCCCTGTGTTCGTCATGCTCAGTGTTTATCTGATAAACACCAAGGAATGTGCAGCAATGAACGTTAGAAACTGATCAGACTCGAGTGTCTGGTTTCCAGTGACTCGTTAATCATTGTCTCAGTTCCTGTTTCCTGCTCAGCTCCAACGATTCATTTCACTTTAACAGCAACAGTTTGGATCACTGTGTCTTTATCTGTGGTAAGTCTTTTTTTATTTATTTGTTTGGTTCTTTGTTGTTTTGTTGTTTTGTTTTTTGATTCAGAGAACAAACAAACAAGAACCTTATAAAAAAAACACTGAAATGTGTGGTTAAAGAAAAAAAAAGTGATTTTTTTTGTTGTGTTGCTGTCAAACTGTGAGCACATACAAGATGACAAATGTCTGTCAGTTGTTAAAAGCTCCCAATGTAGCAGCAAAGTGTGAGAAAAGCTGTGTTTATGTTTATAACGAACTGTTCTTGGAGTCGTGCAGAGACCTGCACTGAAAGCTGGACTTTGTCTATCGAGGTGACTTAAAAGAAACTCTGAGCTTTCAGTTTTAGTTATGTACCTAAGTTACACTGATATGGAGCACATTAGTTTCAAAATAAAAGGTCATAGTCTAAGCTTATCTGTGTTTCTGGTGAGTGTTTGATGGGTCACCTCCAGCCTTGGCTGAGCCTTTGTGCTTTTCTTTAATGCATTTGCCAAATAGAGATAAAACACAGAGCTGACTGCAGCAGCAGGTTTCTCAGATTTTCTTTCAGGCTGGTGCTGATTGCTCTGCTGTGTACAGAGTGGGCGGAGTCAACTCACATGAATTGTTTCGGTTTCTCCTCTGAAAATGACTGTTTGATGCAAACTCTTGAGAACAAAAGGCAGTTTACTCCTCCGAAAAGATCCTGAAAGTTTGGAGGTGTTTTGTTGATTTTAAGCTTTAGACTCATCAGGTTTGTTCTGCACTCTGTCAATCATAGCTAGAGGTCCCTTTTCTACTTTCAAAGGAAAATATATTAGGGGCTCGATGGGTGAGAGCACTAGCCCAAAGACACACCATTCATGCTGGAAAAAACAAAAACAAAACGGGTTATCCTGATGATGACATATCACCCGCAATCAGTTGTGGCAGTGTCATAGTCAGGCATTAGTACAATGTCAGCAATGTTACTCTAGTCAGTGAAACACTTGAGCGTTTGGCTGCATTATAGCTTGCAACATGGATTTTTGCCAGAAATCTTCTTTTTTAAAATCTAGAGTCTTTTTGTCTTTTACTCATCCATACTCTGCTTATGCATTTTGCACCATTTCGATACCTCTGTGTACAAAAATCTACACTCTCAAAATCTGCCAGAAAAACCTCAACCAACAATATTTCGTCTTTCATATATCACTTGTATTAAAGTATTCACAAGTATTAAATTATCTTCTGGATTTTAATCTTTTAAATTCCACTTTAAATGTTTGAATCATTTACTCTTTATTGAAAAAACTCACAAAAAATAAATTTCCATGTAATAAATTGGATGAGGATGGGACATTGGGGGTGATTAGGTTATTGGACAAGTCAAAGAACAGACACAAAATTGATTGTATTTCATTATTTTTTGTGTAGTGCCTCTCGATACAAAAATGCCCCATTCACTTCTACTTCTGCCGTTGTAGTATAACACCATGCGTCCTGTAATCCCCATGGGGATCAATAAAGTATCCATTATTATTATTATTATTATTATAATGTCAGGATTTCCCTGGGATCTGTAAGAATAATCTCTGTCTGTATGTTCTTTGCTGATTCCAAGAAGGATCCATAACAGTGAACAGTACTAAATTATTGAAGGCAGACTCATCGATGCAATTGAAGAAGAGGACAAGAGAAAAAACAAGAAAAACATAAAAGTCCTTCCTCACCACTCACAATATTTAATATAATTAATTTTTTAAATAAATGCATGATCATTTGGGGTTTCTACTTATAATCCTGATATACAGTTATACAGTTAGTTAGTATACAGTCTTGGTGCTCAGAAGGAGGACATGTAACTGCCATGGTGGTGGCTGTGAATGCAAACAGAGATGAGAAGACAGCTCTCCAATTTGTCAGCTTCAGCGTTGGAGGGAAGCTCCGGCTTGTTTGCCTTGATATTCCCTACCAGTATTATTCATGCTCTGCTGATACAGAGTATGGATGATACTGGGCAAGGGAGTAGGTTATGCAAAAATGATAACAAGTAAGTTTGACAACCTGGAGCCTCCTTGTGTTGATAAGGACAGGTGAGTCGGAGGTTGGTGCTTACTATCTGACGTGGTGGCCCTGAAGATTGGTTACCCATTATGCTCATCCCACAGGATGGGATGAGGATAGATTCCCATTTGGACTGATACACATCTGCTAGGATGAGAAGTCCTGTGTACTCAAATCTCTTCACATCACTACATCCTGACATCGAATGCCTAACTTGAGGTTTGTCATTTATAAAATCAACAGCATCATGTCAGGAGAGAAGAAAAGGTCAAAAGAAGAGGCCACATGATAGATTCTTAAAATTGAATATCTTGTGGGCTGGGGGATGCCTGAATGAAGCACAACATCTATGGCACATAAAAAAAAATTGCAAGTACAAGTATTGAAGCACAAGTAAAAGTACAAGTATTGTATTTTGAGGAGAAATTTATTTTGAGCAAAGAAAGGCTCAATTTGAGTGAACAAAATTTATTGCTGCGTGAAAACTGTATTTCAGTGTTTGCTATTATCCATATATACATACAGTAACAGCCCCTCTAGCTCTGTTTTTGCATTTGCTCTTGGTCAGATCTCTGGGGACCTGCTCGCAGTGCGTCGCTCGCACTCTCAACATCTCTGCTCCCTGCATGTTCAACTCTTTCTGTACACCGTTATATATGTACTACAATACCAACCAATAACAGACTTGGATGCAAAAACTTCTGATTAGCTGTTTTTGTCTCCAATCAGCTTGCTAGCTACTGCATTTTGGGAACACTGTCCAAAATGTAGCTAAATCCAGTGGAGTGGTTTGGTTTAAACTAGCTTAAAACCAACAATAGTCTTAAAATTATATACTTTAAAATAAAATAATTAAACATACTAATCAAAAATGGGGCGGTTTCTCAAATTTCAAGTAAACGAGCCCGCACTCACGTTCAGACTTCACAAGTCCAGACTTCCTGAGAACGCCAGTTTTTACTGCCATTCCCTCTTAATTTAACTGTGATTAATATTTGCAATTGAAATTACACATGATGCAGTTTTTTTTTTTAAGATAACTTTAAAAAGCACTTTGGCAAAATTCAATTTTACATATCATGTTTCATAATGTCTAATAAACTTCATACAGTTAAGCACAATGACTCACTACATGACAGAAACACAAGCTTAATCTCTCTCTCAATAAAAATTGTACACATGTATGCCTGAATAACAACAAACAGGTGAGACGTTAGAACGCTTTTGTTTTTATTTTAGTAGACACACAAAACTGACAATAGATGGCTGGATTTTGGAAGAGAATTGAACAAATATTTAACATATAATCTGATCATTTTTGTAGCAGCCTTCAGGATCTCCATGTATTAACATGCTGTTATTGCTCCCGGTGAAATGTTTCCTCCTGAATTTAAATATTTTTATGTTAGATTTAATTCAGAGTCAGCTGTTTAACTAAGAAGAACATTTTACATCAGGGGATATGATGGGTGAAATTCAAAATAGACTGACAGCTCTCCAAGTAAGACTTCACCTATTAAATAAAACGGTCCAGTTATAAAGCTGAACTTTAATTTCAGCCAAACCAATTTACTCAGGAACAAATCAAACGCTGAAATAAACCAAACATGAACCTTTAGAAGTTATCTAAGTGACTTATATATCATGTTTAACCCGAGTAGTGAAAGACCGAGAGGGGTTTGAAAATGATGCGCTGGGATTCTGTGCCTTGACCACCCAGTCAGCTGGTGGGTAAAAGCCATCTCGAAAAACGTCAGAGCACTTTTGCAAATATGTGATGTCTTGATAAATCAAGCAGATGTTCGAAGTTTACATAGCAAAATTCTAACCTGAAAGTATCTTAAAAGTGCCAGGGCTCAATGGCCCGTGAAAAAAGAATGGACTCAAGCACAGAACCAAAAACTGGACCTAAGTGACGGGCGATGGAAACTATAGGAGATAATAATCAGAGATCCACGGCGTTGTAAATGAATCTAAGATTTCAAAACTAAGAGGTCTTACATGGCTGCAGGTGGAGATTAGCTGGAGGAGGAGGTGAACTAGATGAAGGTGAGTACAGAATGCAATGTGGGTGCGCAGGGAGGCAGGCAGGTGAGGATGGCAATTAGCGAGAGTGAGTTTTACCAGCTGCAGCAAACCAGAATCCTGAAGCGTGACTATGGCGAGAGTTGGAAAATATATCCAGGTGCCGACTAGCGAGCAGGAAAAGAGGGTTATGCGAAACATGCTGAAGAACACAAGACACAAATGCGAGGGAGAGAACTGACTATAGTGAGCAGACAATATGGCACAGGTTCATTGTGAGAGCTGGTCATGAATACTACTGCAGTAATTGCCAACAGGTGAGGAGCAGGGAGGAGCAATGAGAGCTCCACCCAGAGAAGGAAAATTACCCAGACTCACCCAAAACATGACAAGAAGTTTATTTTGTGATCCAGAAGAAGTAATATTTCAAACTTTTTAGCCGCGTTCCTCCGCCATTGCCTTGTTTGAGTTTTGGACAAAATGCATTCTGGGATATTTGGGTTAGCTACAGTAGCTAGCGAGCTGATTGGAGACCAAAACAGTCAATCAAAACTTTTTTGTCCTAGTTTTTCTCTTTAAGAAAACACTTATTTTTAAAATTGCCGTAAGTGAGCTGAAGCTCTTTCTCTCAGACGAGGAATGGCCATGGTGTTGAAGAATTTTAAAGTCCCAATGCAACTATAGCTAAGAACATTTTTTTACACCCTTATCAATTAATTTTATTTCATGGAATGGCTCATGCAATTGAAGTCCTGCTCTTGCATACATACACCAAGAAAACTGTATGCATTATATCTACACTTTACATAAAGACATCTAAACATAAATAGATGTTTCTGTTTCTTTTCTGTCTTCTTCTCTCTGTTTTTCACTAACACTACTAACTAACTAACTGATAAAACTACACCCTCAGTTTCATATCACTCCTTGTACACAGTTAGTTATATTTGACACCTTTCACAAACATAATGTCCTTGTTCATTCCTAAACTACTCAACACGGAACTCACAGCATGTACGATGTTGAAACATATTCAACTGTTAAAACACAGCTTTGACTTAAACTTTCAATTTGATTAATTTGTTCATTTAAACAAAGTTCAACTCATTTTATGAAAAGAACTGACCTTCGATATCAGGAACAATAAAGTCAACACAGGTTATTGTTTAGCAGAGGGTTGGGCTAAGAGTGCACATTGTTTTATTACAACCTACTTTCTTTGAGCTGTGGGGATGGTTTTAAGCAGTTCAACGGGTATGTAGATTTTTACCACATAAGTTACACTGTAATACTTTCCTTCTTTATTTAATTTGACTATTTACTTACTTTACTTACTAAATTATCTAGCAGGTGTTTAAAATCTGATTAATCACATAAGCATTTACAGTTACCAGAGGCACAAAGAGTGTGTAAGTGGAAACATTTTTTGTAGTGAAGGAATGAAAGTAACATAATTATTATTTCTTGGAAATTTGTGTATTCATAAATATTTAGAATGTGTATTTTTAATTACATGCTGTTATTGGTAGCTACTTAGAGAGTTTGCAATTTGAAAAAAAAATCCATATCTTCTATCAGCATTAAATAGATAGTAAGTCTATTAATTGCAGACAGGACAATAGAAACCATGACCTATGCACAGACACAGCTTATTGGAAGAGGACCTCATGGATATTCTGAACTCTGTATTACTTGTGTCTCTTGTCTCTCTACTTTCATCGCTCTATTAATTTGATCTCTTTAGCGGTTACTGGTAAGAGTAGATGTGGCAACCAGAAAATGTGAAAAAGGCACAGTACAACAGCCAATGTTTTATCACTGTTTATCAACAAAAACATACTTTTGTGCAAATTTTCACAGACCTTTGATTTTATAAAAAGTGCTTTTGTTATTTTGCTTGTAGTATAATGACTTCACAAAGATGAGTAACTGGGCTGTGTCCAGATGTCATGTTAGCTCTCATCAAGAGCTAAGAAGAAAAAGTCAACAATTCCCAGCTTGTCTTTCAATTGAATGTCCAGATTTCCTGCAATGTTCTTGATCTCTCTTGTTGCTGTTACTCCTGGAAAGGAGCACATTTCTAAATGATTAAAAATAAATTTTAACATAATTAAATACTTTTTTCAAACGTGATATTACCGTGACACTGTACAAATCACTCTTTCACTGTTTCATTTTTTTCTATCAGAGAATGGCTTAATATAAAAATGTGTGTGTTACTATGCCCCCCTCCCCCCCTTTTTTGTTGCAGACATCTAGAATGAGTCCTATGAAGAATAAACATCTCTTGGTTTTGCATCATGTTGTTGCCGTCCTCCTTTTTCTAACACAAACTTGTGGTGGTAAGTTGCACACAAACATTTATAAAATCCACAATTTAAAGTTCTTACCTGTAGTCTTCCACAGATGATGGAAACACACACTGTAACAGCACCAGTTTATGTTGATGTAGTTAAATAAATCAATTACATATCTTGCTCAGACTGATCTTCACAATTACTAAACTGCTGAACTGTATGTGTCCCTAAATTTTGTTAGGTCAGCATCAGATGATTGGTCCAACTCAGCCAGTAGTGGCCATGATTGGTGATGACATCATGTTGCCATGCCACCTGGAACCTGCTGTGGATGCTGTTGACCTGACTGTGGATTGGTCCAGAACTGACCTCAAACCTAGATCTGTCTATGTGAGGCGAGAGGGTGTGGAGCTTCTGACTGAGCAGAATCCTTTGTACACAGGAAGAACATCACTCTCTGTCAACAAACTGCAGTGTGGAGACGTTTCATTGAAACTCTCCACAGTGCAACTCTCTGATGCAGGAACATACAAATGCCTTGTACCTAAATTTAATGCAGAAACTGTGGTGACGCTTGCTGTGGGTAAGTTTCATTAAATTTAGATTAATTTCTTCACTTTGCAATTTAGATGTGAAGAAAGACTTTAAGCAACATATATATTGAGTGGATAGGTACAAGTTAATTTCAGTCTATATACAGGAACTTCGAAAAGAGAAAATGGAATAAATAAGTAAGATTATTAGAATTTTGACCAGTTAGATTGAACAGTTGATGTCACATAGCATTGTGCGTCTCTATAAGCTTAAAAGGACAATTTGAGTTAAGGTCAATAAGAGAGACATTTGGGCGAACTGTAACTATTTTAAGAATCTTTTTTTAGATATATATTTGGCAACTACATTTCAATATTTTGTCTTTCATTCTTTTCTTTGCAGGTTCAGTTTCCTCACCAGTCATAGAACTCACCAATGTCAAAAATGAAATGGTGTTAGAGTGTAAATCTAATGGCTGGTATCCAGAGCCTCAGATGTTGTGGGTGTACAGTGAGGGAAAACCCATTTCTGTTGAACCTACAAAGATTGTCAGAGGTTCTGATGGCCTCTATGCTGTCAGCAGTAAAGTGACTGTGGAGAAAGGACAGAGCTACAGCTTCACCTGCAAAGTTCAACAGAAGAATATCAGTCAAATCAAAGAGACACACATTCACGTTTCAGGTAGAAATGCTTTTTTATCACTCACATTAATTTTCAGTTACAGAAAGTAGAATCTAGAACATTTTGTCTCCTTGTATTCACAGGTGATCTCTTTATGGTCCAGTCTAATACTGCTGTTCACATTATCATCAACTTGGCTGTCTGTTTAATAAGCGTCGGGACAGTAATATTCCTAATATGGAAGTGTGGACAAAATAAAACCAGTAAGTTCAAACTACATTGTACTTTTTACCCCAACCTCAAATTATCATCAGACCTTTTTAATGTCTTGTTTTAATGTAACTGCCTTTAAAATAAAGGGCTAAGAAGTACAAATGTGATTCAAATAAAAATGTCACAAAGACATAAACAGTTATGTTAAAGACGCTCGAGGGAAAAAAGTGGTTAGAGACTGTAGAAATTATAGTGATTTACTAGCAAAATTGGAGGCGCTCAGCAACTTTACTTTTATAAAGGAATATAACCCTGTGTCCTGTGTTGTAAAGAGATGTGTTAAGACATGCAGAGTTGGTCCCATCAGTGCAGACTGACTGAGATTGATTGCAATATCTTGACTCTCTGTCTGCATTTATGAACTAAGTGTTAATTATTGGCAAGTGGTTGCCCGTCTGTCGGAGAGTAACTAGACTTAGTTTAAGTCACGCTGTGATTATTTGTTGGCAGTTTGCATCCCATTAGCAACCTGTGCAATTGCCTTGTGATCAGAAGTGGAGTATAGAACACCCTCAACCTCTAGAAAATCAACTGGTTGCCACAACCACCTGCTGAATGTGTAGAAATTCCATACGAGGAAGTTGCCTTCCTATTGCCTTCCTATTGTTTTCCTCTAGTGTGACTGAGACATTTTGGGGGCAAAGGTAAAAATATTTGAGGAAATCACCGACTGTAAAATTCTAGTTATAGCAGCAATATAAATGAAAACTTTTCGTGCTTCATCCTTGTTGTAGGAATTGTGGCCAAAATGTCATATTCTCACTCGTTTACTCATTTAAACAAAGCACTGAAAGAAAATGAAATATGAAAATTAGATATGCATGTGTGTGATTTTGAATAAAATTGGCCAAACCTCTCTGATTCACATGTAGCAGTTTCAGTACATCTAATGTTATTTTAAATATCCGTCTATATCTATAGTAATGCTTCAAACTCTTTATTTCCATTTATATTTGATTACTGGTATAGTAAATTAATACTGTCAACACATGTGAACACATAAAAATGACTAATATGTTGTCCCTATTTTCCAAATATTTTTTTTTCCTGCAATTTTAACACACAGAAATCAGCAAACATGATGAGGACAAAAATGAACTACATGAAACAGAGATGGAGGAAAAATTACAGAGAGAACGTGAGGAAAAGAAAAGACTTGAAGATGAGTTGCAGAACAAGGAAGAAGACTTAAAACATGTCAGACAAACCATTGAAAAACTGATGGAACAGAAGACATTTCTGAAGAACCAGAGAGAAAAACTCATCACTCTACTGCAGGAGGACAAGGCAGGAATGAAAGAGATCACGAAAAAGTTGGAGAAAGAAACCCCATTCCTTGACAAAGAGAAAAAAAAGAATAAGCTTGTAGATAAAAAAACTGACCTGGGAAAGAGAATAGAAGTACATGAAGAACTGTTAAAGATGACAGAAAAGCTAATGGAGGAAACAGAGAACATTATAATCCAAATGACAGAAAGAAAGGGAAAACTAGAAAAAGACAAGGAACAAATGATTAAACACTTGAGAGAGAAACAGAAAGACATAGAAGAGATTAAGAAGAAACTGTCAGAGAAACAAGCGAGAGACACTGAACAGGTGTGTAAGTTTTTCTTGTATATATTTCTTGCTAAAATCACACGAACAAGCTGTCGTGTTGTGTTCAGTTTACATTTCCAGTGTCTTCAGTTATAAACCTAACCCGTTTTTTGCTTTTCTTCCTCAGCAAAGGACAGAGCAACACGGCAAATAAAACATGGATTTTGCTGTTTTTTTTCCTCTTGCTGTCATTTTGCAATGTGATGCCTAATGTTTCTTTATTTGTTTGCTTTAAATTTATACTATATACATTTAAACAAGAAATGCAGTTTGACCATATTTTATCACAGGAGATAAACATTTTTGTGATTCTTTAAATCTTTTGTCTGTGTGAAAGTAAGAATTACACAGTGAAAGCAAGACGAAAATATGCTCTCTGTATTGTCATGAGACCTGCGGTAGAAAAACTCCCCCCTGGCCGCCTCCACATCACAGCTAAGAGATGTTAAAAGTTCTTAATCCGGTTGTTGATGACGTGACGAATCCTACTTCCGGGCCTAAAGTAGCTGCGTTTAATATGGCTTTTGTGTTGTTAACATGTTTAATGTTTTGTATTTTCTTCTATTTAATCTCAAAAAGCTCCTAAAACAGTCAGTAATCACTGTTGACCTCCCTCGGCTTTTTTTACCGCTAATCATTTATTTAAGCTCAGTTTTTAAAACCTTAGGATGTAACTACAGCCCAGCCCATGCAGCAGTATATGAATGACTAACCTCGTATTGTGGATGGATTATCTCAGTTGTTCTCCTGGCTGAAGTTTGGTCCTTTTACAGCATCCTGCCATGCGATTACATTTGTTCCTGACCACCGAGAACACTCACGTTAACTTTTATCGAATGGAAAAAAGTTAGCTTGTTTATATTATGCTAACATAGCTGTGTCGCTAGCGGTCACGTAGCACATCATTATATACCAGCTAGCCAAACTTCAGTAACCCTACAAATGTCACTGCTGTTTAGCTTTCTGTCTTCTTTTATGTTGGAAGTGATAACAGAGCTATACGTTTTAATTTGTTTCCAAAACCCCACAGTCAGGACATGCTATATTGTATTTAGATAGAAGCTAGCGAGCTAACTTCCTGCTAACTTCTAACTCCGTTAAACATCATAAATTCCGTTTTCATGGATGCCTGGATGTTAAACTCAATTGTTATACCTGGTAGAGCAGAACGCTGATCATTTTATTAAAGATGAAAGACTTTAGACAGTTTTTCAACTCTCAGTAATGCCATAGTGATCGTTTGATATATGGACCTGCAGCGGAGTTTAGACCCAGACACGGCTAGTGACGTCAGACTGAACAACCGGATAATCACTCATGTGAGTAAAAGTGATCAAAGTTCTAAAACAGAGCTTTCATCTATTTCCTAATAATTAAGCATTTTATTCTTAATCAAGATAAATAAAATACAAATGTGATCAATATATTAATTTAATTAATATTATATAATTAACATAGTCTGAGTAATAAAAATAACTGTTTTAATGTCTGAGTTTTGTGGTGAAATGTGTGAGTGCTCATGAGCAGATTCAACCGTGGCAGTTTTGTGTTTCTAATAACAGGCTTCACCAAGAGTCTGACCTTGGTGTGTGTGTGTGGGTGGTGCAGGATGGGGGTGAAAGAGACACACTGGAACCACTAATCTCAGAAAGTGTCTGAAAAGAGATTATGTTACAATGAATCTCCATGTGAAAATGTGCTAAAGACAAATTCTGCATGTTAAGAATAATAAAGAAAATGTAATAAATTGAAGTTAAGTTTTAAAAGTACAAACTTTGTGTTAAATCATGTAGGTCAGACACACTCAAAAAATGAATGATGGGGATTGTTCAGTGTATATTAATTATTTATGTTCATTTTACTTAAAATATATGTTTTTGTTAAGTTAACATATGTTTTTCTAATCAAGTCTACGTAATTGTGTCTATTATTCAACGTACATAATACTAATGTGTTACTTGATGGCATAACATTTAAGTTAAGTCAATTAGGATCGATATACCTTGTATGTCCACAAGGTGGCAGTAATGCAAAAACAGTTGTAATGAAACCGCGAAGAACAAGAAGGTTTCACGGCTTGTGCCTGCTCATGCGCAAGACTTCAAATTTAACTTGAAAACGTTGTTTTGGCGCCAAGCTGCTGTTTCTTTGAGAGGTAAGACCATTTTTTTCTTTGACTATGTTGTGTAGTATCTACATGTCGAGCATGGTTATATTTTGCGTTTGTCTTACAAGACATGTTATATCGTTTGCGTTCGCTTGTTCTACATTAGCTTTACTGGGTCCTGGACATGCTTATTTTGTGGACTGTGTAAGAAACGTTTTTATTGTTTTTTGTTTTATTAAGGGATTAGCTACAGGGGTTCATGGGGTTATTTTTCCATTTGCTTTCTTGGGATTCCTTTTCTGTAATCCGAGAGTCGTAAATATCGAATAGGATAGCAAGGATAGCATAAAGTGACATTTAAAATCCAAAAAGTCAAGGGCGAAAGCCACTGTGACACCATTGTTATGCTCTGTCAGTAATCTGTATTATGTAAAAATGGTCTGTAAATACAGCATGTTTCCTAGCGGAGTTATACAAATCAACATAGTTATAAATTACAGTTTGTGAAAGTACACACTTAATTTTTTTAATAAAATTATTCACGACAGATGAGTGGACAGACAATGGAGGTCGACAGACCTGGTGATAATTGCTTCTATAGAAAGTTAGCACATGGCAGTGTCAATCTCTTGCTTTTCTTCTGAGTAGTATTTTATTTAGTTGTAATTCAATCAATAATTTGCTTCTTGAAATTAAGTAATGAAGTTCTTGTTTTACTTTATAAATTTCAGATCCGGGCCTTTACCTGCTCCCTCCTATACTGATGTGGTGTATGTGGTACTGCTGAGCTTGTATGTGGTATGTAAACTGTTATACTTTTAAAAACAAAACTGTTTTATAAGTTTTTTTTTTAGTGACCCATCCCATGCCCCTGTTATTTCTTCTCCACATCTGAACCATTGTAAAGGTTGCAGTTCAAAGGCCTGAGGCATGAAATTCTTTTCAGATCAGCTGTGATCAATATTTTTTGGAACTTATAAATAGATATAATATAAATATAATAAAAGCTGTAATGGCTCCATTAGCATTTTGTGTAAATGTTTGTGTTAAAATTATAACTTTAATGAGGTCTTTCTACATTAGTTTAAGTTATAAGGTATGTATATGTGTACATATAGTATGTATATTTACAGTACAGTATGTTGTGTTTGTTGACATGTTTTCAGGTGGAAGCAGAGTTTGTGAGGATTACTACTGCTCCACTTGTTCCAAGGCTAATTTCATTGTTTTTTGACTCTTAGTATTTGATTTTGCTTTTGCTTTGCTCTTGCTAAATTTCTGTAATAAAATATTCTGTAAATAAAGTCTAAATTGTAGACTTTCACTTTTTAACCTCTTTTGAAATTGCAATTAGGTCTGAGTATTATTCTTTATTAGTGCAAATAGCTCTTACAGGTTACCCTGCCAATCAAAGCAGTAGTTGGTGATGACATACCATTTTTCCTTTCCATCAGTGTTGTTTCTCAGGCTGGGGAGTGGACCAGATTTAACTTGCAACACGAATTGGTCTAAGTGTAATGTTCTGATGACTTCTAGTTGATTATAATCTGTTTAATAAGGAAAGAAAGTTACTGTCTATCAACAATCAAAGTGGTTTACTTTTTGCTCACATTTTGATGCATTCTCAATCATCCAGGTAAGTAAATCTCCAAAAGTTGATTCTGTTCATCTGGACGTAGCATTTTGTGGGAGAAACGTTTCTTCACTCATCCAAGTGACGTCTTCAGTCTCAGCTGACTGCAGGTTTCCCCAAATCTTATAAACAGTACATTTGCATAACGACTGAAACCAGCCCACTGAAGGAACAATGGGCAGGGAGGTCAGTTCCTTAATCTTAATTATGCAAATTCTCATGACCATTGATCAACAACCACTGATCAAAGCCCACTGATCAATGGTCATGAGTACCATTCACAGAGAGTTGGGGTATGGCTGCAATCACAGCATTGTAAGATGGGGAAAGATGTACTCTTGGGACCCCTCCTCGATTCAGAGATGGTCTTTACCTTTTCATGTAAATGGCCTCCTTGACTCCGCGCTCAAACCAGCGTTCCTCCCTGTCCACGATGTGTACATTGTCATCATTTAAAAGAGTGTCCACTGGCCTGTAGGTGTAAATAGACTGCAGAGTCCTGGCCTGATGAGGTAGCTCTTCTGTGTTGTGCCATCCGCTTTGCCAGAAGTTGTTTGGTTTCCCTGACGTATAAATCCTGGCAATCCTCCTGGCACTTAACAGCGTACACTATGTTACTCTGTTTGTGTCGGAGGACCCAATCCTTGGGGTGGACCAGTTTTTGGTGCAGCGTGTTTTGGGGTTCAAAAGGCCACAGAGACCCGGTGTTTAGAAAAAATGTGTCTCAGCTGCTCCGATACTCCTGACACGTACGGGATCACTACAGGTTTTCGCTTAGGCAGAGGTTGTCCTTCTCTCCTGGATCGGCTGGAGCTTTCTATAGGCACCTTCCTAGCTTTCACCAAAGTCCAGCTGGGATAACCACATTTACTCAGGGCCTTCTTGATGTGATGTTCTTCTGCTTCCCTGGCCGCTGTGTCTGTGTGGATAGTGTACACTCTATGTAGTGTCCTGATGACACCCAGTTTGCGCTCCAGTGGATGATGAGAGTCAAACCTTAAATACTGATCTGTATGCTTTGATGTACGGTAAACATCAACTTTTAAATGTCCCCCGTTACTGGTGGAAATCCTACAGTCTAAGAAGGCTAACCTACCACTTTTCATATCCTCCCTGGTGAATTTGCTGTGTTGGTCCACCAAGTTAATGTGATCCGTGAATTGTGGTACGTCCTGAGATTTTGTCACTCATCCAAAAAGTCACTTGGATGAGTGATGAAACATTTTGCTGAAAACGTTATGTCCAGATGGTCAGACTGAACTTTCGGAGTTTTGCTCACATCATTTTTTTCTCCACATTTACTGTGTCTTTATTTATTTTACACTCAAGCATACATTACTAATAATACAAGCACATCATATAATTACGTCAGCAGTTTCTTCCGAACATTACTAAAATATTAAAGATTGTGGTAATACTCTGAAGGAATTACAATTGCTGTAATATCATATATTTGCCTGTTTTTTTTAATAATTTGAAAAAAATGTTTTATTTTCGCAAGTGTATAAATATCTGAAGTTTTATGGAGACGAATTGATGTGGTTACTCTGCAGCATGTAATTAAAGATTATTTTCACTTTTGAAATCCAAAGTAAAAATAATATTTTCACAGAAGAACTCATAACTGCAGCAATAAATAAATAAATAAATAAATGCTAGAACTGATTCATGGTGTAATATGCCCAGTGACATCTTTATTGTCTGAGAAAAGCAATTAATTTTAGGAACACAGTAAACAAAATAAACAAAAAATAAAACATATTCATTT